TATATATATATATATATATATAAATTTTATTTAATATTTTTTAACATGGACACTACTGTAATAAAATATGTTTGTACAGTTGATATTACTGATAATAAAATTCCAGTAGAAGGGCATGAAAATGTATATAAAAATGTGAAAATGGATGTTTCTGAAAAGTTATGTATTATCATAAAATTTCTGCATGTACAGAAGTCAAACTTTCAGTTGATCCTCAATAAAATGATTGATGTAAATTAAGAAAAGTTGGTTTTTCTGAGTAAGCTAATTTGAAACTACAAGAAATAATTTGCATACAACTCTTTTCTCACACTGCACATAATTTGCAAAGGTTAAACAAATATAAAGCTCAAATTTTGAAAATTAATATAATATAAACATATAAGTTTATAGTGTATATATTCGTTTGCAAGTTATTAAAAACAGACTCTTAGTAATTCACAAAGACTACAGTTGATGTCAGAAGCGTTAAAGTACGTGTATTTGTACACGTCAAATATAATATTGAAACAAATAAAGTATACAAAATCAATTTGTCTCATTGATATTCAACAAAGTAAAAGTAACTATTTTGGCCGGATAAAACGTAGTGCTAAAGAGTTTAATGATAGATCGAACTTAAGACTTCAAAAAAATATGACCTTACTTTGCTGCATGAACTTCTAGTACAACGTCAATATATAACTCTAATGAATGTAAAAAATGACACAAAAATTTTTTATGTTTATTGCTTGCTGTTTTAGTAGAAAAATGAAGTGCACAATTGACAGATACAAAACTCAAACGATTTGTTATTATTTACCTGAAAATTCAGATGTTGCTGCTTTCTTCAAATTATTTATTATACCTCTTCTCAGTCTAATATTTGAGCTTCAATTTTTTCATATTAAATTTAAAAAATTGCAGGAATTTCGTTCTTCTTAATAGCAAAAGCTGAATTTATAGTGTGGCTTACACAATAGTTAATAAATCACATTTTTCAAATTTTGTTTAAAAATAATAAAAATGATAATAATATTAAATAAGTAGAAAAAAAAATGGTGATTCGACTTCATAATAAAACACAGATTACTTCAGATGTTTCAATGAATTATCGAACTGAAGTCATTTGAAAGTAAGGGAAATCTAATGTAAAGCAATAAAATATAAAGAAAATACGAGATGATAAATTTTCTGCTTAAACGTATGAAAATTTAAAATCGGAAACAATTAGTTTTTCAGGTTGGTGGAGTCTCAAAGCAACCCTGAAAAGGATCCGCTTCTAGTATGGTTTAATGGGGGTCCAGGATGCAGCTCTCTGATCGGTTTCTTCCTAGAACTTGGTCCTTTCCGGGTCAATCCAGATGGCATCACTTTGTTTGAGAATATATTTTCTTGGAATAAAGTAAAACTTTATGCCATTAATTGCAGTAAATTTCATACTTCAACAAAGGATTGGTACCTTCGAGAAATAAAATTTGACATTCCAATATTTCTCAACCTCTTGCATACTTTGAGATTCAATCTTTTTTAATTTAGCTTTATCGGTTTACTCAATTACTTAAGTGAGAATTAAAAATGATTTCTTTTACAACCAACAATATGTAGTGTTGAGATGAACGAATTTATAAGTATGTGAGTATATGTAAGCACAAGTTTATAAAAATAGTTTTCTACTATGAATTAATAAAGATGAGATAATTACCAGACAAATATTAGCTAAAACCACCAATTTAGTGAATTAGATCAGTTTTATTTGTTTGATTAATTTATTGCTGTCCATTAAATGTTATAATTTACGCTAATATTTTGAAACGAATGAAACAACAGTAAAAAACTTATTCAAACGTGAGTGTGGTACCACTCACGTTGCAATTAATTTTGTAGTTATAAAAGTAATTTTTGTACTTCCAAAGTTTCTAAATTATTTCTCTTTATATGAGCTTTATACAAGTATGAAAGTGCATAGTAAAGATTATTTTTATTTTCAGGAAGCAAATGTTTTGTTTTTAGAATCACCGAGAGGAGTCGGTTTCTCTTATCATGATAATTCAATCAAACCTGATGACGACAAATACAGTGATCAATTAGTTTGTTTTATTTCTTCTTCTGTACGAAACTGTGCATTCATACAAGACATATTAATTAATATATATCAAATTGTCAAACATCTTATACGTTTAAGTATTACGTAGTGCAGTGTTCTACGTCAACTTGTCTCTACTTCTTTTCAGACAGCTACTGATAATGCTGATGCATTAGAACAATTTTTCCAATTATATCCAGAATATATTGGACGTGATTTTTACTTAAGTGGGGAATCGTATGCTGGTGTGTACTTGCCAACTCTTACAGATATACTCATAAAACGGATTAAGGTGCATAAACTTAATATTTTTTAATAATACTTCGAAAATGTGATTTTTGTAGTTGCATGTATTGAAGCCTTGAAGTAATTTCTAAGTTTAAATTCAGGAAGGAAGCATTGTGGGTATGAACTTGCGTGGAATCGCAATTGGTAACGGAATACTCAGTGAATACTATCAAATGAACTCAGTTGTCACTTTGCTTTATTATTACGGTATTTTTGGAGAGGAGTAAGATTTTGTTACAATTTTTTATTTATTTTTATATTCAGCTGATTATATCAAAATAAAAAATCAATACTTTTTATATTTTGAAAAATTTTATATCAATCAAAATTTTAACAAAAGAATAGTATTAATGCTAATTTCCAGTCACGTACTTTATATCATTTATATTTCCAGATTTAAAAAATTACAAATCCTGGTGATTAAGGTATTTGCATTTTTCACATTTGAAATTTTAGTAATAAATCAAAAAAAGCTATTTGTGATTAAAAATTTTAGCTGGTACGATAGCTTACGTCAGTGCTGTGAAAGAATTGATAACGTCACTATGCTAGCAGATTGTCAGTTCAGCAAGTTTGTTGATGCAGTTCAAGGCACTTATGAACCCAAAAAATACCCAGATGACCCCTTCATGCAAGAATGTGCCAACAAAATACATCGTATGGTCAACACACAGAACAGAAACTTCACGATGTAAATTTTGATTTTGAGACTGATTTCAGCTTTAGTGATGAATTGTTCATTCTAATAACTAGGTTGAAAACTTGAAATTTCTTCGACTTTTTGATTACTTTAACTTTTATATTGTCAAATTGGTGGATTTTAATTTCAGTTTTATTATCTGTACTAATTAATTTTGACTACTTTTAATGATTTCTTGTAGCATAGAAAAGAGACCTCATCCCTGGAAAATAAATTAATGGCATCAATTTGGATTGTAACTCTTTTATTTGTTTCTAGGCTTTTTTTTTAACTTGTAGCAGCAAAGTTAATTTGATACTATTTTTTTGGAGCATTATTATATAAGGCACAGTGATCAGAACTTTGATTTTGATCAGAAAATCAGTATTTCTGGTGTTGAAATCAAACATTTTTAGCAACAATCCATACGACACTTATCAGGATTGCTATACAGATAAGTTAACAACAGCAAGTTCGAAACTTCAAAAAATGAAATCCACGCCTAAAAATTATCGTTCTGACAACCTTGTTGACACGGATAGTTTTGTTGATGCCGGAGTGGGTATTTTTATCTAAAATAATTACTCTCTCAGTTCCAATTTTCAGTCTTAAAATTAACAACTAGCTATAATTGTTTTGCTTCATAAAATTTAGATCATTAATTGATATTAATTTTAGATACAGCCATTTCTGGTTTTTTATCTCACTAAAATTGAAGTAAACTGACCTTTAGACTTTCGAGAATGATTAAAAACACATGTTTGTCTAAGAGTAAAGCAAAAGATTAGTGGAAGTTTTGTCCTATTATTGTTGACATTATTTTCCCACCAAAACATACTCTTTATCATCAATACCGTTTTCCCGTATTTAGCAATTTATTAGACAAAGTTAAAACGAAGCAATAAAGTACAGTTAAGTATTGAATTTTAAGTGATAATTTCCCAGAATATTCATTGTAAATACATTTACAAGAATAATTCCCGTGTTCAGGCTCGAGTGAATATTTGGTCAAGCGATGCACAGTATGCTTACCCATGCTATTCCAATGACGCATTGTTACAGTATCTGAATAATGCTACGGTACGAGAAGCACTGCATATTCCAGAATCTGTGCAAGCTTTCGCTGAATGCAGGTTTCTTGGTTTTTCTTTTCAAAATTTAACTTTTTTCCTGTAAAATTGCAGTTTACAGTTGAAAAAAATTCAAAATTTCTTCTCAAAATACAAGCAAACTTTTTGAATCATTAAATAATAATAATGTGTAACATTATGTCAGCAATAATTACGATAAAATAATGTAATAATTAGCTTTTCGCAAGTTCTAATGTCAAGTAAATAAAAAATGTGCAATAATTTCATATGGTTCAATTTTGATTACTTTTTATAAATTTACAGTAATTAATTTAAAAATATAGGCAAAAAACACAAAAATGAAGGAGAATAAATACTTCAAATAAAAATATACCAGATGATTTTCATGCAAGTAATTTATTATCCAAAATTAATTGATTACGAAATTAAACTGTATTTTTAGCGACCATATTGACCAAGTGTACGAACGTCAAAATCTCGACACAACGCCTGTATTTCAATCCATCATTGATTCCCGTACGGTATTAGATTAAATACAGATGCATGCATAGCATAAAGAGATTAAAATTGTTAACTTCTGAAGCTTTCTTATAATTTATGTCCTCAACCATCTATGATATATCTTAGCATTTTGCATGAATACTTAAGCTGTTTTCCAAATTCATATGTTATTAACAGTGATTTGATTTTTGCAAAATGATGACTGTATTCTGTGCTTAAATAAGACTGATCAAATTAAGTTAGTGTCTTTTATCACATTATGTATTTTAGCTATGTTACGGTTTTTTTTTATTTGAAATTCATTATATGTAGTTTACTGTAGATGGTATTTGAACATATTGATAAAAAGTATTAAAAA